TAATGCTATTGCCAAATCTCACCCAAACGCTTAACGCTATCACTTTAAAGTGGCTAACAAAGTTATGTTATGAGTAGGACGTTAATAAAAACCAACAAAAATTTTGATTGAAATTAAACGTCACTCTCAACCACGTCAATTTTGACAACAGGAAGGTGGGGTGCCAGTTCTACCAATTTCAACCAAAATTTGTTTATAACAACTAGAACAGCTAACTACGCTGTATGTTGTCAGTAGATGCTAAACTTCGAATGTTTATGTTTATTACAGACGTATAGATGCTGGTTACAGGATAAGCGGTGGTGGCAGATAAAAAGTATGGATTTGTGTTAAGAGAAAATGAAATTTGACTGATTTTATCTCTTGAAAATAGAGGAGGACAATAATATGAATTAAGTTAAAATGGAGCAATATGTTCTGAATATGTATGTATGTTTTTATAATTATTATTTTATTATTATTGAATATATGGAAGGGGGGACGTGTATTTTAAGTTATAGTTTTTGCAAATTACCACCGGATAGTGGAGATCATAAAAATTAAGCAACAAGGCGACCCTAATCGGATTACAACGTACCAAAAATTATGATACCACCTCTTTTAGCCGGTTGCCGGGCTGTTTACCTAGAAAATCCTAGAAACGATACTCAGAACAGGACTCGTTATTACGTTTCCTACATTTCTAATTAGCTAAACACGTGATTGTAAAGTTGTAAATAAATGTTTTATTATTTTATACTCGAACATTATAATGTTGTTATAATCATTATTAACGCTAAAATTATAAAACCATATTTATATCATTAGTTCTCTGGCGAAGCCAAGAAACCAACGTAATAACAAGGAAGATTTTATTTATGGTAGGGTCTTGGGGCCTACCTCCTTTCTTAACACCTAATTTCGGTGTTCATTTTGCTTAATTTTTATGATCTTCCCTGTCCAGTGCTAGTTTGTAAAAACTATACACCACTATTTCATGCGTAAAGTGAAATCGTAGAATAACATTGCATTTAACTTCAGGAAACAGAAGATTTTAGTAGTTACTTGCAAATTTTTCTTTCACAAAATAAACTAAAAATTTTAATTTTTCTCATGAGAAACGCAAAAATAAACGTTATTGTACGAATCAGTAAGTACGAAGTCTAATTTCATACAGATCAAAATTGTAAACAAACTTGCTTTTTTTAGTTTTCGAAATTTTTTACTTCCCGAGCGTAAGCGAAATAAGTATTATAATCGCGTCCGTCGACCGACTGTCTACTTCTACGTTTTCTCGACCTTTCATGACCCCCACCACAGTACGAAGAAATAAGTCTCCCGTTTCCGTCTGTCTGCCATCCCCGATTTATATTAGACTGATAATCCCCGAAAATACTTTGTACTTATATTATAAATATCATGTAGATGCTAAAACACTAACCAAAATTTGTCTCATCATCAATAATGTGATGACGTCACCTTAAAATTATACATAGTAAATGTGTTTCAAATAGTATAAAATAACATAGTCCTACACATGTAGCTTATGACTCTGTATTAAGTTTTTACCCGAAACGGCCAAATTTTTGGAAAAAAAATCAAAATTATGAAACAACATTTCGCAATTTAATTTTGAATCTACAAAACCAAATGTTTTGAAACCTTGCGGATATTTTATAGTTATGATACGCATGATACATTTTTAATCAAAATATATTTGCTTATACTCTCCAAAAAATTGATGACGTCAACTCAAAATTTTGCAGAATAAATCCTATCTAAAATATCCAAAATATGATACAATTCCATTCATATTTTTGGATTTGCTTATAGAAGCTGACTCAAAAAAAAATTAATGAATGCGGGAATTTATTTCATTGATTTAATCAGGAACTGCAAAACTGAATGCTTTGAAATTTTGGAGATTTTTTAAAGTTATCATAAGCATGGTAATTTTTTTATCAAAGTGTATTTGCTCATCCCTCCTAAAAATTGATAACGTCAACTCAAAATTTTGCCTAATAAATTCTATCTAAAATGTGCAAAATATGATAAGTCTGTACTTCTAATTTATCATTTTGTTTATATTTTTTAGATTTGCTTATACAGAGTGACTCAAAAAAATTAATGAATCAATAAATTTATTTTCTTGAATAAATCAAGAAAGTACTGGGCGAATTGTTGCCAAATTTTGTATTTATATTAGGAATATCATGTAGATGGTAAAACGCTAACCAAAATTTGTCTAATCATCCCCGCCACTACTGTAATGACGTCACTTCAAAATTGTACATAGTAAATTTTTACTCGAAACATCCAGATTTTTGGAAAAAAAAATCAAAAATTTGAAACGACATTTTGCAATTTAATTTGGAATCTGCAAAACCGAAGGCTTTGAAATCTTGCAGATGGTTTACAGTTATGATAAGAATAATATATTTTCAATCAAAATATATTTATTTATCCCCTTCAAAAATTGAAGACGTCATCGTCAGCTCACAAGTTTGTCGAATAAATCCTATCTAACATGTAGAAAAAATGATGAGTGTGTGCTTGTGATTTATCATTTCATTCATATTTTTTGGGTTTGCATATACAGAGTGACTCAAAAAAAATAATGAATGCGCCAAGTTATTTTATTGATTTAATCAGGAACTACAAAACCGAATGCTTTGAAAATTTGGAGATGTTTTAAGGTTATCATAAGCATGGTAAATTTTTGATCAAAATGTATTTGCTCACTCCCCCTAAAAAATTGATGACACCACCCGAAAATTTTGCTGAATAAATCCAAACTAAAATGTACAAAATATGATGAGTCTGCACTTGCGATTTATCATTCCCTTCATATTTTTTGGATTTGCACATACAGGTTGACTCAAAAAAATTAATGAATGCGTAAATTTATGTTACTGATTTGATCAGAAACTACAAAACCGAATGCTTTAAAATTTTGGAGATGTTTTAAAGTGATCATTGGCATGGTAAATGTTTGATCAAAATATATTGGCTTATCCCCCCTGAAAATTTGATAACGCCGCCCCAAAATTTTGCTGAAAAAATCTAAATGTATAAAGTATGATGAGTGTATACTTGTGATCTATATCTATACGGGGTGTCTGAAAAACTTAATGACTGAGGGGGTAATTTCAAGTTGGATTAGCGAAATCGCAAGTGCCGTTGCTATGGTAATTTCGATGACAATTGTTGCGATTCGCGATTTGATTCGTCCTCGCGACTGCTGTCATCGCATCTTCCATGGCAACGAGGACTTGCGAAATCGTAAATCCAACTTGAAATTAGCCCGTGAGGTAATTTATTTTATTGATTAAATCAAGAATTGCAAAACTGAATATGTACTTTGAAATCTTGACGTTGTGAAGTTATTGTAAGCATGTTAAGTTTTTAATCAAAATGTATCTGTTTATCAACCCCAAAAATTTGATTACGTCATCTCAAAATTTTGCCGAATAAATTCTTTCGAAAATGTGCAAAATATGATCAAACTATACTTGTAACTTTTCATTGCATTCATATTTTTTGGATTTGCTTATACAGGGTGACCAAAAAAAATTAATGAATCAGTCAATTTATTAAAGAAGGTGAAACCAGAAGCGAGGAAGTTCTGTCGAAATAACTTTAAATAAAAAATATTGGAAAAGAAATATATTGGAAGGTAGGTACTACTAATTAAAAGATGAAATCTACGCTAATATTTTTTAACAAGATGAGTAAAAAAAATATCAATTTTTTTTTAACTTAATGTGAAAATAGTTATTTTCCTTCAATAGTTGGACTCGAAAAACTTGTAATGTACCTACTAAAAAAGCCGAATTACAAAGATAAAATTTTAACAAAATGTTTACTTGCAAAAAAAAGTAGGTGTCCGAGATGTGAGTTAAAACATGTTAGATTACACACTGTCTTGTTTCATAAAATAAAATCACATACATTTTTTAAAATAGAGTTTAGAATTCCAAAACGGCCACTGAATGTTTACTAGAGTCTTAACTTGTATGTCAAAAAAACCAAAATTATTGATAGATTTTATTTTGCAGTTTTTGTTGTAGAAAACCACAATAGTTAAAGATGATGTAGGAAATATTAAAAACAACAAAAATACGAAGCAGCTGACATTTTAAGTGATTATATCAGGGATGAACAATCAAGTGCTTAGAAAATAGGTGGGTAATAGGTGATGACAAAATCAACACACATGAATTTAAAAACAATGCTCAGAGATGTCATCATTAAGCCCCGATTTCATTAGTTCCTTGGCTGTCAACCCGTCCACTCAGCAGTAAATTATGTAAACTATTCTAAGGGTATTTGCATGTTTGGGGATCCACCGATCATGATTAGCATTATGTCGTAAACAAGTTTTTCACAATTAATTGTATATTTACTATAGTCATTTGACAGCCAAAATAAGTACTTTAATATTGCTTTCTTATATTTATAATATCAAAACAAGTATTATTCTAATCTTCCGGTACGAAAGTCGCACGAAAAACCTTTTACGCAATAACTGGTATTCATTCTTTTATTTGAATTTTAGAAAAAGATGGGAAACATGCACTCTACAACTTTCTTGTATTTTAAATAATGACACAATCATCAAAAATTTGCTTTGGGCACCCATTACCTGGAAGTGTTTTGCCATCATCGATTACAGTATTGAAAGTGCACAAACTGTCTTACACATTTAGTTTAAAAATAATTCCATATGCAAAAAACTTTCATAATAAAGTGCAAACAATTAACTGCCGTTGAAATAATAAACTACTATTAAAAAGAAAAGTCAGCAGGAGACAAATTCAAATTGACTTGCGCACGAGCGACCACTGGCTTTTGCTCGTTGTCATTACACTAACAATGGTTGCATCGTTCCGGAACAAAATCTTTGCTCTTGTTCACGCCACTATACTCCAGTAATTTGCTCAAAGAGCGATTACTTTTATTACACATTTGCTGTGAGAATTCCTTTCCCAAATGTAGGTATCCGAAAAAAAGCCACTTACCTTCCCGTTTTAGTGATGATCATTTCTGTCCCAAGGTCGTGGAATTTGTCCCAAAGGTCTTTGGTTTCTAGATGACACTCAACGTTAAGCAGCTCATCGCAATTACAGGATATTTTTGTCTTGGGAAGGGGTTTCTCTTGAACTATGTCGGGCGATTCTCGGTCTAAATCTGCCGGTTCGGAACCACAGTCCGAAATAGCTGGAGATTGTCGAAGCAATTTGGGCTTAGGTCTCGTTGCTTCGCTATCAGAGCATTCTTCGACGTCAACTTCTATGTCGTCATCCTCTAGAGGATCCTCGATGTCGGGAGAACTTGATCTCGAGATTGCACCTGGAATTTTACCCAAATCAAAAGGCGAATAACGTCAAATTAGTGTTAATTTAATAATGAGAGGTTGTCTCGGGTCTAATACTGTTAATTATACTTTAATACCGTCCATAAAATAAAAATAATTATTATTCATTACTCTCTAGTTTGATTTACAAGCTTTTTATAGGCGTGATGCTGGCAATTTTAAAGAAATATGCAAAAAAATCTCATTATAATTTATAATAATGGTTAGTTTCGATTGAACCGCTTATTAGACATTGAAAACAGTTGGTGATTACGTAGTAATTGGAGTAACAATACAAATTTTGTTTTCTGAAAACCACGCACTGTAGAAAGAAAATTGGAGGATGTAATTGGCACTGGTTTTCTTACAAAATAATTAGATGTATATAATAACAACAAGTTAATCGTAGTTCATTGATCATCTCGATGTAACTGCGGCAAAAACAACATTTTTTTCTTTCTTTATTTTAATTAAGTTAAGCGGTTCTCAAACCATCAAAGTTTAACGTGCAGTTAAACGCCATTGAATTTTATGTCACTTACGTATTGTAATTTTTTTGAAAGATAAACTGAGTTACAAATTTTATTTTCAAAGCAGTCTACGTCGCACACGATGACAAATTTTTAACATAGTTTAACTAACTGTATACTTTCAAATCATTAGCAGATTAAAACTGCAAGATGTTGCAATTTTGATATGCATAGTGAAACAACTTTGTAGTTTATTTATTTATCGTATAATATCAGTGGTAAATTTGAAGTAACAGCATACCTACTTGTTGTTAGTACAATTGAGTTGATACACGAAGCTGCCAATGTTTTTAAAGAAACTGATTTTGGTAATCGAGTCCGTCGATCGACTCTACTTTTACCTTTTCTCGATTTTTCATGACACCTACATTATGAAGAAATAGGTCTCCCGTTTCCGTCTGTCTGTCTGTTCGTCTGTCTGTCCGTCTGTCTGCCGTCCCGGATTTTTATTAGACAGATAATCGCCGAAAGTACTGCATCGCTAGTTGACAAATTTTGTATTTATATTAGGAATATCATATAGATGGTAAAACGCTAACCAAAATTTGTCTACCAATGAAATTGTATAAAATAACATAGTCCTACACATGTAGTTTATGACGCCGTGTTATGTTTTTACCCGAAACGTCGAGATTTTTGGAAAAAAAAATCAAAATTATAAAACAACATTTTGCAATTTAATTTTGAATCTGCAAAATCGAATGCTTTGAAATCTGGCAGATGTTTTAAAGTTATGATAAGCATGATAAATTTTTAAGAAAAATATATTTACTTATCCCCTCCAAAAAATTGATGACGTCAACTCAAAATTTTTCAAAAAAATTAATGAATGCGTGAAATTATTTTAATAAGGAACTGCAAAACCGAACATCTTGAAATTTTGGAAATGTTTTAAAGTTATCATAAGCATTGTATATTTTTAATTAAATTTGTATTTACTCATCCCTCCTAAAAAAAATCCAAGTTGATATAGTACGTGTCCTTCCAAAAATGTTACTGACGTCATCACAAAATTGTGTAAAGAAAAAATTCAACTCGAAAATGCTGGATGTTTCATTGTATTTCAGAAGGGAGGGCAGTTCTGTTGAAACAACTTTCGACCAATTTTTTTTATTTCTGTTTGGAGTTCTTTAATAATACAAACACTTTTTTATCTAATAGTAACAGAAGAATCACGTTAACTTATCTCACAGTAAGCCAAAAACACACTGATGGTAAAAAAGGGAAAAAATGACACAAAAATCTGTCTCGAACTTTTTTTAAATTCTTAAAATTTGTTGTACCTAATAGTTGTGCTATTTTAAAATATTGCATCTATAATTGTTTGCAGTAAAAAAGAACATTTTTGTTATAATTTATTGCTATAGACTGTTATCAAATAAACGCTTTCTAGAAATGTTTTGACGTCATACACAAGCAGGTACTTATCGATTACGAATAGAAATGTTAAACATTTTTTTTAATGTTCATTTATTTATTTTGGAAAATAAATTTAAAGAGGTGGAAACGAAATTTAGGTTATATATTTTCATACCAATATGGCAAAGGTACACAAAATGACTTTTAATAATGGTCCGCTGTTTTGTTAGGACGATCACTTACAAACAACGTGTACAAAATCTCGTAATTATTGTTTACTTAATCATGCATTACGCACTAAAAGATATATAAACATAAAACAACAATTACAACTTGACAGCACTATCAAATTAAACAAAATATAATCATTATGTGAGCTGTCGTTAACGTCAATATTTTACATCCCGTATTATTTTTATTCAGTATATCAGAAGTTTAATGATAAAGAAAGTTAAGATTTGGTCAAGTGTGAGTAAACTTCTTTAATTTTCATTAAGTTTTTGTGGCCCTCCGTCTGATTTTATATGTTGGCCCACAAATTCTTGTGGGAAACAGGCCCGTAAAATGATTTTGCGAGTATACTAGACGCAAACGTTTAGTGCGTTTATGGCTTCACACCAATTTCACTGCCGTTATAATTCAATAGAGGCCGTCACAGCCGAATGCCTTAAACCCGCTTATTGGTAACAGTGAAAACCCACCTGAAAAGATCTTTTCTGCTAAAAGCACAGGGTAGTACTGTCGGGCATCCGTGACTTGTGGTATGGTTTGTATTTGCTAATTTTTATGAAGGGTCAGCTGTAAAGTACTTTAAACGTCAAAGCCAGAACCGCACTAAATGTTTGCATCTAGTGTACTCGTGTTATATCGCCTCGACTAGCATCTTGGCTCCGCATTGTCACTCATATACTCACAAAAATGCACTGCCTTCAATTTGTGCCCCAAATAACTATTATAGTCATTTGAAGTAACAGGAAAAAACCGAACAAACATTTTACAAAATTAAATTTGTAATAACTTAATATATACTTTGGTGATCCATTTAGATTGTTTTGCTTTTATAATAAGTATGAATAAATTTGATAGGTAAGTGTAAATTTTACACTGTGAAAAATAAAAAAGCAGAAATAAAGTTAAAGAAATAATGAGTAAAACACTAAAACTTTAAAAGAATAAAGACTTTCATTTTGTTTCTGTTATTAAAACGGTGTTCTTCTCTTGGTGAAAACAAAGACTCAAGTTTTGGAAAATAACATAAGTCATCATTATTAACTTAACGTTAACAAACATGTGTGATAATATAAATTTAATTTCCTTAATTTGAAATAAATAACTTAGGAATCTTCTACGATTTCTGCGAGGATAATATATATCACCCCTCTAACACCAAATATAGAATAACACAAAAATTGTTGACGCATTTCGGCAACCACGTTGGCATTATCTAGATAGTACTATAGTATCGACCATAGTATAGGTTAATATTGTCTAGATAATACCAACGTGGTTGGTGAAACGCGTTCACAATGTTTGTAATACTGTATTTTGGGGATACAGGGGTGGATAATAAAGGTTGTACTATAAGTACTAATTTAGACAAATATTCTTTATAGCTGGCCCTCATCGAGGACAAAAATCTCTTCATATATTTTCAAGAAATATTGAAACTAATATAATGTTATATAATAAATTTTGCACGCGATAAAAAACCAAACCAAATTATTTATAAAACCTTCGTGCATATTTATTTACTGTACACGCAAAGTGCAGTTGCATCGGTGTTGAATAAATACAGTCAAAGTTTATAGTGCAACTGCAGAATATCAGCAACTTGTTATTTCACCAGTTTTTTCGTGCACGGTGTTTAAAAATGTTTACTCTTTAGTCATTATTTATATGACTAGGTGTATATGTGTGTGTTTTTAGATGTATTCACAATCTGACCAATCAGTTTCTCAAGTCAAAATTCAAGATTAGGGAATGCTTATGCTTATAACACAGCATCATGATCTTTTTATAAAACAAAATAGGAGTAAAAGAAAATGATGGCAGAACAACAACTCTCCAACATTTATACTGATTACAGAGTAATGCGAAATTTTGTTATCTACGTCAAATTTTTGCACAATGGTTTTTTTGTTTTAAATGTACCTATACCTATACATGTTTGCTCGCCAATTTGAATAATGATGTGTACACTAAAAACGTTACTCTGTAGTGTCCAAGTATTTCGCTTTTCTGAAAACATTTTTGAATAAAAATGTCAATTACTTATGCAGATTTTTTAAATGTAATACCTGAGATGTAAAGTAAATGATAGTAAAGCATAGTAAGTAACTTAAAAATATGAAGAAAAGGCAGATATTTAATTATATGTAATTTAATATTAGTTTTACTACGAAATAAAATTGAATGGACTGAATAAAAAACACTATGCCCACATAAAAGTCTTATCATTTTACCAGTGATACCAGTAAAATTTATAAATACACATAAATCAATTAGGAACAATTTATTATTTCTGTAATTTTTGCATCAGTAGTTGACAACAACTATAACATTATTTAAAAATAAAATAACATTAAAGTTACTTTTTACATTATAAACAACACAATAAAAACTTTTAGAGATTAACCAGCTACTTTGTAAACTGTTCTATATTACTCAAGCTTAGATTCGAAATTTCGCCGTAGCCAAAAATTAAAATATCGATAAAACATGTAAACGAAAAAAATGTGCCTTTCTCAATGAGATATCGACAACTACTTATTTTCCGCCACTTCTCGACTTACCTAAGTGTGTCTAAAGTTGATTAAATTAATAACTAACAGATAAAATACTTAATACATAGGTACTTTTCATCATACTCGTACTACGCGCAAATACGTAACCAGTGTCCACCAAGTTGCGCGCGCGAATGATCATTAATAATTTATAAAACAACAGAAGAATCTATTATCGATAAATAATGATAATAATGGATACACAAACAAATAATTTTTTCAAAAAGCGCTTCTAATTTAATTTGGAATTGGCTGTATTCACATGAATGTACAAAAAACTTAAATATTCTTATATATTCAACCACAACTGAAGAAAACAGATTTTGAAATTGAACACTTAGTTCAAAATTCCGGCAACAATAAATAGGTACGTGACCTTATTAAACTGTAGCGACATATTGCAATATACCGTTGATATATTTTTGCGAGATGTCAACATTTACACAGAATGTTTTTGAAACTCATGTCTTGTTTGTTATTTCTAGCTTTTCGCTTCTCAATTTATAAGGTTGTATAATCCATATTACCGTAAACGTTTTGACAGTATCATTATACAAATAATATTTATTATCATCTTTGGTAGGTACATGTATATTATTACATTAATGACATATTGCTCCATTGTGTAGTCTAATTTATGGATTAGTCCAAATTTTGCATTCGATAGCTACAAAAATATCAAACATATTTTTGCATGTAACATAATAATCATGTTGTTATTGTAGACTAGTAGTAGACAATTATTGAATCGTGATTTCATTTTATGGTTGTGGATAAGTGTTAAATTTTCTTCATTTTGTAAGGTTGTACTTACTACTAGTAGGTACTTAAAATTATATCAAAATTTTCACCTTCGAAGCGGCTGTCATAAATGCATTTATATCGTGTGGAAAAAACCGATTTACAGTTAGTAATAAAAAAATAATACATTTTTTATACAAGTGTTCATAGTTTTTTAGTAAACACTTAAAGCATAAATAATATATACATAATATAGGTAAGTATTAAGCAGATCAGTTTCAAAAACTCGAAAAAAATATTGCTGTTTGCCTTCCCTTAAAACTTTATGATATAGCCTTTTCAAAATAACTGGTGTATCAGTGATCAGTTGTCAAAAAGAACCTTTCCTCAGTTGCAAATTTTCAGTCCTCTATGATGATATATGATTAAATGGTGCGTTGTCTCCACATTGTGCAGATTCACAATCATGTTGGTAGTGCAATAAATAGCTATCCCTAGTGATGCACTGAAATTTTACATTATACCTACTTAGTATGTTATTATTATATGTCGTTTAATAAGATTTTCTATTGTAGCACGAGTTATTTGAGGCACGAAGAGTGAAGCGAGGAGTAGATATGTACTCCAAAGGAAAGGGTTTTACAATATGTCTTATTAAACGAGTACAGTATGCCATTTTTCTTCTCCCGTTATTTTATAAAAAAAAAATCTGGTCACAATTATTAGTAGGGTTTTTTGCACATGATCAAAAAACATCTGACATCTGTCTGAAATTTAAACACAAATTCATTCAGTAGTAGTTTATAAAATGACTTAAAAAATCTAACAAAAGTAGGTTTGACGGGTGATACTTGACGGACCATTCGTGACGGTTTTGAAAACGTGGTACCAACATTGCAAATCAAAATACCTCAGAAACAGTTTCACAATGAATCTATTTTAAATGCAAAGTAGAAAAAATATCTTGCACTTTATCAGGTACGAAGAGAAAAAGTTAACTTTACTTGCTATATAGGTACCTGTAGTTTGGACGTAAAGTATGATGTTGGTTAACTTTAAAATGCAAACAAAATTTGTGCATATATGTAAGAACAAATATATGATAGATATAATTTTTGTTGGGAAGTTATAGTGTCACAAAAGTAAAAGCATAAATATAGAGGGACATTTTGTAAAAGTACCTAAATATATGGCTTAACGTTATTACTAACGTGTGGGAGAAAATTTTTCACCGTAGTGGTAGTAAATGTAACTTTTGTCTTTACTTTCAATGAAATTCACCCACAATATCCCTCTAAAGAAAACTCAAATAAACATTTTCCGAAAACTCACAAATTACGATAGTTACAAAAAATGAATATTGTTACGTATTTAATAAAATCGTAAGTAATACAGTGAAGCTCCTTCCCCACTGGAGCAGCTCTGATGATGTAAGAATGTAGGAACAAGCATTTGAAGTAAGACTTTAGTAATCGCGAAATCACGTTATGAACTTTTTGATGAGATACATGTATTTTTTCATTAGTAGATAGTGTAGTAGGTACTTGTCTGTGAGTCGCGAATTCGTTTTTCTCTAACAAAGTCAATAATAATAATAATAATGAAATTCGACCAAGGTTAATAATGGAAGTGAAGTTGATCATTATTGACCAAGGTCTATAAAAAAGATTGAGGTTATATATATAATATACTATAATGCTCTTATAATTTTTTAATACATACTTTTTTGACAAATGAAAATTGGCAGTTAACAAATATTTGAAATTACTTTCACGAGGGATTTAAATATGCTAACTGCCATAGTAGCATCTCGGGAGAGGTACATAGTTCACTGTTAGATATATTTCCTAAAAAATTAATCAAATTAATTGAAAATTTGAAATTGCAAACCTCATTACAAACCAGCGTTTAAAACGTCGAAAAATAATGACGGCAAACATCAAAGCCTAGTTAGGTGATCTCAGTAATGTTGTTAATCTTAATAATTTGATTGAATCTGCGTTTTATAGTTCGCTACTAGTGAAAAAAATAGGTATGTAGACCACGGTAGTGAAGACAATTGTACATCTTTCAACTCTCGACGCTTCGCGTCTCGAGCTATAGATAATCTGAGTTCGGTCTATAATGATTGTCTTCACTACCTTGACGAAAAATATACTGTTATTCTAATGTTAGTACAAAGTAACAATGCGATCATAACGACTTGGTAAATGAAAGAAATATTTTGGACACATCCTCTGTAAGCACTTCCAAAGATGACTACAATATCATTTGAGAAATATACCTACTTACAATAAATTTTGGAACTAAATCTGCTCTTTTCTTACATCTCACACACCTAAAGACGAGGGAGACTTTTTTATAAGGAATAAACAATTCTGGTTACAATCGATTTAACATCAGCACGATAATCTTAAGATACACTTAAAATTTTAAAGTAAGCGTTCCGGTAGTTATGGAGGATATCTATTTAAGATATTTCCGGCAAACCCCAGACAAACAGAAATACAAGATTTGCCTTTTTGCATTCTACTTTACTTATAAAAGAGCAAGAAATATGAAATATCGGTTGTCAAATTAAAATTTTAATAAATATCTTAACACAAAAAAATATATTTCAAATATATATAGTTGAGCTGTGATTTAGGTGAGACTGAAATCATACCTAGTGATATTCTTTATATTTTTTAATACAAAACAAATTGCGAATAATTAAACTTTTAAGAGTTTCTAGAGCCTGGTGTATTGTTATCGATATTAGTTTTTTTTGTCATAGGTGGTGTCCTGCTAAATAATTCTGTTCAAGTTTTTCAAATTTTCAACAATGTTCGGACCCGAATCGTCTAAATGCTTTCCCTTGATATCGTAAATCTTCTTTATAGATATCATGCATAGGTAAATCATACCAAACAAAACAACTAAAAACAAGACAACAGACTTCCGCACCCAGGTGTCTGTCAAAGTGGCTAACGATTTTTGACAAATACAAGAATACCTTGATGTTTGTGTAATTTCTTACACTTATATTATTAGATATATACTTTTTAAAGGAAATTTGATATTTTGGACTTCGACGGTGTCTATTGCAGCATATTATTGTGTAAGTTTAGGTAATTTGTGGCAATCCCTTTTTGTCTACTGTTATCAGTTAAATCAAAAATGTGTTTAACCAATCAACTTATACCTACCTACCTATACCTAAGCCAAAATTTAAAATATTCTGCTCGCAAAATTTACTGCGACATTGAGGTCATATTTTATATAGGTATGTAAGTTTATTATCTTTCTATTAGAGTAGAACTATAAGCATATGACGGCGCCCTACTTTTAAGGCCGAGTTAAAATGTATTATAGACATTATCAATTTTCTTTTCAGTATGTAGTTTTGTCGAACTGAAAGCAACTGCGTACTTACAATAGCATTAATTATTCCTTTCTTTATTATACACTGTTCTCTTATATTATTACAGGAAAGAATTTACCTATATTGAGAAAAAATTAACATAAATATAACCTGTATTTGCGTTATGTAGAAAATCATTCTTTTATTAAATGTTTACAAAACTCAGTAGTCAGTAGTAAGAATACTCATAGAAGGTACGTTCCATATATCAGTAAATAATCAATTTTGTTAAGATTTAAAATATTTAATATTCGTTACAGCAACAACAAGTAGGTAGGTATTTTATTTTCTAACAAAATTGTTTCACATTCCTGTTAAACACTTTTAAATTGGTACATAAATATTCCGCCAAGTTTGTATACCTAATACTACAAAAGTGACACCTGCTTCTGTACGCTGTAGTCTGATTGCAAAATATACACCAAAATAAGTTTTTTCACCAGCTGGGAATAGATATCTGGTATTAACAAAAAGAAAGTATCATTACTTTTGTAGCAGAAAAAAAATATGGAGAATTAGCTAAAACAAACACACAACGAAATTTAATTTTGCCAAGTTTATTAAAATTTTTCTCTGCTAAAATAATTGTAAGTTCTGATTTGATGCTAACGGTGGCAGCACTTGTTATCAATGTCTTAAGCAAAGCTTCTTACCGTGGGTACTATGTAACATGATACAATGGTGGAAGTTCCAGCAGATTCGTAGTCATTTGAAGAATCTTTGAAGGATGTAATAATACTGTACTGTCGTACTTCCGAAAATGTTGATATTGCAGTATCTATATCGGCACATACGACATTTTTAAATTCTAAATGTTGAAGTACAACGGTATTTACTTAATTAAAATATTTAATAGAATGATATCGTTCTTTGTGGCAAATTAAAAAAAAAGGACTGTTGGATATTTCACAAATCTTAACGTTGTCGACGTTAACACAATGTTTAAACTACGTCATTTTTGCTACTAAGGTAATTTTATGTTTCAAATTTTACTAGAAGTAGTAATCCACTTGTGGAAACTACGCTTGATGTTAATTGAAGAGAAACTTTTTTACTATAGCCTGTACTTTGACCGGACATGCGATTTTATGTTCATGGAGGACTCAATTACGCATTATCTTGATAACACGATATAGGCAGCGCTATATAATTTACTCATGCTGTTACTGACCGTCGCCTTGCAGGTCTCTGGCGTCGGCGTCCGGCGGCGCAACGGCTCCCCTCGCCATGATAGCGGCAATCGAAAAGTCAGTGGCGCGCGTCTTCGCCGTGGGCACGAGTAACCCAGCGGCTGCACTTTCCTCGGGCATCGCACCGAGAAGCATCACAAAACACTGACAAGTCACAGTCACAAAGAAACCCACAGAACCGCCAGTCAGCACATGTCCAGCATAACTGGTACCCACTATGAGACTGACTGGTCGGGGCCGGGGACCCGTGGCGCTGCGAAAGTGGGCGGGGCCGAAGGGGCGGAGCTTAGGGAGGCGTGGAGGGTCGTGTGTGTGGTCTGCTATCAGTTTCGCGTGACTTGAGCTATCAATCAGGGGCTGTGGTAGCGGTGGCGACATAGTCTGTAGACAGGCCACTTGATATCACTCCCCGGATTCCCTGCCCGTCCTGGGCCACCCACCGGTCACCGACGGCGATCGCCAAACCGGCCATTGCTGCCTATTAGATATATCATGTACTCTACTCATTCATAGTGCTGCGGCTGTTCATCCCGGTTCTTGGGTTGCGTATGCGTTGCTCGCTCGCGACTTAACGTCTGTCTCACGCACGTCAATTATTACTCATCTTGTCAGAGGCGCTTCGCCGCCGACTGACGTTTTGAATGGCGCGGCACCATCTTCAGATTTTATGCAGTCGGCAATTGAAATATTCCGCAACTCGATGCAGCCGGTTTTTTGGTATTACAAAATTAATAAAATGTATACCTACCTGTAACGGGTGTTCAGTTGAAAAAGTCGTCAAGGTGGCGTTGTTTTTTTGATAAAAGAAAACGTAACGAACAACATATGTGTTTTATTAATCCATATTATTGTGTCTTTGTTCAGTTTATTTAATTTTTGCATCCGTTTATCCAAATTCTTAAAAAAAAAACAGTTGTTTTCACAACTAATTATAGCAACAATTTCACTCTTGGCAATGGCAAGAGTGAAATTATATTTTTGCTTAAGAGTTACTACCGAAATGGTGTTAAAACTGATAGCGAATGGATTTCGTATTAGGTGCAGACCTGTGTATGAAGGAATTTCAAAACGAATTTCCAAAGGTTGCTGTGCACTACGTGAAATTTAATAAAACTTGACACAGAGCGGTAAAGTTCTTCTCAGAAACTAAAATTCTTTTATGAAAATCTGGCAGTAGAGCAGCTAAAAAATGTACACAAAAAGTTATTGCTAATTCTGAAAAAATAATGAAAAATGCACTGAAAACATCAATCCGTCAGTTACACCAGCAACTTAATTATTAATCCTTCTAGAACCACCCCACACTCTTACTTAAGAATTTGAAAGTTTATCCATAACGTATTACAGCGGTACAAGAATTATTGTGAGTCGATTATCAGCGACTTATTAGTTACAAATATTAGTTCTATGGTACATTTATTTAAAACAAATGGACAACATTTTCAATACAATTTGTAACTTTGATCGTTTTTGCTATTGCTTGCATTTTTTGTATCCATTTAACTTTAACTGTCGTTGAATATTTTTAGGTTTATTACAAACATACTTATTTCCTAATGTTTACAAAAAGTCAACACCAACCTAATGATTTTCAATTAAATACCTAATATGTTTTAGAAACTTGAATTAACTGGTAAACATAATATGTAGCAGAGGAATATTCTTTGAAAAAGCCCATTGGAGCACCAGATTACGGTTAATTAATAAGATGCATGCACGGACAAGCTAAATCTATGTATAGATTAATCAAAATCATTGACTGCGTTGCTTTCATAGGTACATATAGTTCGTGGCTGGGTACTATACGATACTCGTATTAAGACAAAGTTTGTTTTTGTATGCTATTGTATTACTTGATTTATTGAATACCAATATAACTGGCACAAATTTGTTTTCTACTTAATGTGCCATTTTCAAAAGAATTTTTCAAGATGTGAAGTCATTGTGAAAAAGAGTTCAAATATCATTCATGTTAGTCAATGTGTTATTTTATCTTAAGTCATATTAAGTAGATCAAGTTCTTCATTTGGGCATTGAAGAAAACGTATTCATAATATAGAGTACCTACTACCAAATCAATTAATGCTACAATTTACTTCTTCACACTCAGTACGAACTTTTGGGAATATGTTAATTCTAGAAACAAAAATTTAGTGGAATATGTTTTAAGCGATTATTTTTTGACATTTGCTTAAAAATACTCTTGTTTAAAGCAGACAAAATAAAGGCAGTAAGTACTTTGAAATGTACCTACCTCCGAATTTTTAAATTTTCGAGTAATACAGAGTAAATAGTGGCAATACATACTTCGTGGTATACAATAACAGCAACATTTGCTTATGACACAGATTTTTAACGTTGTCACTACTGTAATCTGTCAGTGTAGTGGTTAGTACCCAAAACAAATGTTGGTATTTTTTTTTGAGAAAATTTTATGTGACTCTTTTATTGCTATTAACTGCCAACAAATTCATGTTATTCAAAATATTAACGTAACTATAAAGCGAGAAAAAATAAATATATTTAACAGAAATTTCCTATAGCGTGTTAATACCCTCTGTTTTGTTTCTTTTTGGTAAAAATTGGATTTAAATTTATCTTCGCAACATTTTTACATACTTATTTTATTTTGGGACAACAGCAAAAAAACAACATTAAATAGAACCTTATACCTATACAATAATTCAAATACTGTCAATTATTTTTTTACTATATAAAATTTTATTGCTTTTTGATTTAGTTGATTTAAACCTTTATCTTTTGTTATTTTTTACAAAAATAGAATTCAAATTTTATGAGTATTAAAACTGACCAAAATAATCAAATGTCCAGGTAAAGTCCCAGAAGGGTGTCACTACCTACCCTAGATGCTTGACGCCAAAACGGGCTTAGGGATAAACAATATATTAACAACATATCTATTTTTTGTGTTGATGGATAACGCCACCCAGAAATTTATGTAACTACAATAAATCCTTTGTCACTGAATGATTACAAATGAAGAAATACCATTGATCTAATAAAGGAGTGGATGGAGCCTTGTATACGTTCCCATACGCGAGCTAGTGTAATCAACATAAGAAAGAAACAGCTAGAGCGGTTATACATCAGTGGGGAAAGGACGGCTGACCACGTATCACGTGCTGGGTGGCAAGAAACGCTTCATTTGAACGGGAATTAATACGTTTTCTTACGAATTTGTTCAAACAATCAATTATAGCAAACGTCTGTTACTGAAAACTATATTTTTACAGTTTACATTAAAATTATGTGTAATGTGAAACAACAAAAATCATGTTAAGTGGTGGAGATAGTCTTTTAATAAAATGAAATGTATAAAGAATCTACAATATATTACGAATTCAGTTAGTCCAATAATCTTCTACAAGTTAACTAATCTTGTAGTGTATGTTCATTGGTAATTCTGAATTTTTTAGAATAAAAGTAATTAAACTTTCGATAAAAGTGACAGGGTGCCTAATTAAATTACACATTTTGAATTGTATGGATTTTCTAGTAAAATCTATTTTCTAAATCCACGTACAAATAGCTAAAACAATAATCAATAGATATAAAATTCCCTCTTTTTGTAGCAATAATCCGTTTTTTTCGTAACTCGGAATGTTTAGGGAAACTAACAAAATTTTTAAATTATTTACGAAATCCTTCGTCTGTGTATGTGATTATTACCTATGAAATGAAACAGGATTACTTTCTTTGCACATTCTATTCAATTATACGCACAACACGATTTCACGATGTTTAACAAATAGTCCAATAAAATACAACTTAAAAAGACTGCAGACATCTAAATAAGGTAACTTGATCCTATAAAACGTAAATTTGCAAAAATACACCTTCAAACACCATGCGACAGCACGAAAGAAACCTCCAGAAACACAGTGCTCTGCAGTTTCGCGTCAATGTTTTGCCACCCAGCGAGCCCTATTTCTGTCCCACTGTGTTGACAACGCGCATCTCTCTCTAAGTTACTTCCATATAATATTATTTCTATGAGAAATACTTAGTTAAAAAGATATTTCGAAAGTTAAGTAGGTATGTATTTGGCTTTTTTTTTTAGAAAATGTTTCTCCTATAGTAAATTTTATACCTTAAATTTAATACTTAACTAGGACTTACAATTAATTAACATTAAATCTTGCTCTTATATATAAAAGGACGACTGTGGTGGCGTCACTGTCGTTTTGAACTATAGGCCTGGTTACATCTTAATTAAACAATCAAATTAGAGTCAAAAGTAATATCTGCACTTACAGAAATATTTTAGACGACAGGAAATTTTCGGATAGCTTCAGAATGCTATAAAACTGACCATTTCCGGTTTGCTATAAAATGAAAACAACTTCTATTAAATGACACTGCCTATGTTTTTATTTTACTAAACATGTTTAATATTGCTTCCTACATCTTGCATTAACCAAAAAATATATATCTGACACATTTTTTTTCATAAATTTTAGAAAAATTATGTTTTTGCAGTAATTGGCATTAAAATAAATTTTAATTATAGAAAGATTATAGTCTGAAGTATCATTTCTTCTGTTGAAAAAGGATATACAATCAGTTTAAATGGCAAAGTATTTGTGAGCGTGACTGTAAAAATCTTGGAGCTACTTGTAAGTAGAAGAAAATTTTGTAACGTAACTGCTGATATATTTTCATTTGCTCACATATTGCTAAAAATAATGTTTGCGATTCTTGTTGATAAGTTTATTCCTGATGCGGGTAATAGTAGGTACTTTTGGAGTAATTTAATCGTTCAGTTGAGACGGAACACCTGCATATATTAAATTTGAGCAATTTGTTGATACGTGGCTAGTATAGCGACTAATTGCTTTTCGTTTTGCCTAGGTAAATGATTTCAGGTTTCCGTTATTACTTATAGTATTATACACATTTTTATTATTATTATTAATAAGTAAATATTAATGACCTCGCACTTCTAACGACATATTTTATAACCTAATTTAAGGTTCTCATCTTAGAGGTTTTTATTGCTGCTAGTCTGACACACGTGGGAAACACATATTCTATTGAAATATTTCATACATGTTCAATTATTTGCTAATTGGTTCAAATTTTCAAATAAAGTTTTATTTTTATCATCACAGATATTTGAGAAATCGTAAAGGTTACCACACTTATTTCTTGTTTATTTCTACTTTGGAAATTACTTTATTCACAATCAGTCAGTAACATATTGCTTTTCTGACCCCCGTTAGAAAGTGAGCGATTCCAGAGATACATTTTTCGATGAGTCGGAAACGCCTGAAATCGGTCAGTAATGATGCATAATCCGTCAGAAATGACTCACTTTCCGACCTGTGGCGGCCTCACTATCGTTTTGAACTATAAAT